TACATAGAAAAGCAGCTTCTAAAATAATCTTTTTTACCTGTGTTTGAACACTGATTCCAAGCACCAGAAATATATTTATTATGATGATGTACTGGGTGTAACAGCAAAATTGTCCAAATCAAGTAAAAGCAAAATTGTCTATTTGTTAGATTAAGCTTTGAACCATTTTATCTTAGAAATGGTTAAAGATACTTTATTGGAATTCTCCAAGGCTTTTATAATACTATTTGACTCTACTTTGGGCAATAAGAATGTATAATTGCTCTCCAAGCTTAGAAGAATCATGATGAAATCAATCATAGACATGTTCATCATTAATTAATCATAGTTAAGGATTGGAAGATTATAAAGGATTGAAATTAAGTTCAAATATATATATATATTATTCCAGGATCATTTTCCAACTTATTCAAGATGATCTTTGCCCTCTCTAAACTTCTAACTTTCTGTCCTAGAGTAACAAGGTGCCTCACAGGTTTCATGTACAACTTCATTTTCAAGTTCTTTTCATTGCTCTTTGGACTGTCAAAGGTGAAACTACTCTCTCACATGCCAGACGTATTATGGATTGAGTTGGATCTTTTCTAACTGATCTCTTTATCTCTAAGTTGAAATGATGATCCCTTTTCCTGTTGTGACCTCCTGATCCAGTTTTCCTCTCTACTGTTCCTTCTTTTTTTAAACTTATTCACCATTCTCTTGATGGTTCTTGAATGGACTTTGAAACCAGATTATGAATGTTGGTACCTTTACTGAAGGCCTGAATTATTTTTTCCCCCACCATTGCTCATTTGAGAAGACAGTGGGTCTGACATAAAACAATTTTAACCTGTTCTCTTTCTAACTGGATAACTCAAAGGGTTTTTCAGTGATTCTCACAACAAATGATGTCAAGATGACTAAATGTCATATCTGAAAACCTGGAAAAAAGAAATTCAATTAGTTTTGTGTTTTTTTAGATATTAAACATTTTGTGGGATGGACAATTATGCTGTAACATGATTTGGACAATTTTGCTGTTACATTTTCACCACTAAGAAGTAAACCTGTTCAGTATTAATATAATCCTTAGTTTTGTAACAACTGAAAAGTTTTTGTGGTAGGCAGTCTATTATATATTGATGTAAATTCACAATTTTTAACAGCTTTTGTTCAAATACATTTTTATATACTCTCATGTTAAGTTATAATTTGACATCAAATATTTTCTGCTTTTAGTTTTTTTAAATAGAAATATTCAATCAAAATTTTCTGTACAACTTATATATTTATTTTTGTTATTAGATGAAGCATTGTCAGCCATTATTAATTTTTGACTTGTACTTATTTTCATTTTCTTTTCATGTTGAGTAAACATCACAGATTGGAAATAAAGAATAAGCTTCAGACAAAAAGCTCTTTTGGAGCTTAATCATTATTTTAGATTCATGATATTTCCTTATGGAGGTAAAATGACTGTCCAAGTAGCTGTAATGAGAAAAATGAAATTAAGTTGGAGGAAATATTAGTCAAAAATTAATAATGGCTGACAATACTTTATCTTATAATAAAATTTAATATTACTATGAAAAATTCTTTGCTGAAAAAACCCATTTCCCAAATTCTGGACAAACATCTGAATTTATTCTGGAATCTCTTTGTTGGGAGATGAATATTTCAGTATCATACTAATGGCTGTAGAATGATGGTCTTATGGAATTATAAAAAAATAGTCATAAATTAATCCTGGTTGACATTTATATTTATTTAAGATGTTTCTCTTAATGCTGATTTTTAATGTACACTAATTTTGCATATTGTCAGAGATATGTCTAGTTGTACCTACGGAAAACTTGTGTATTCAGATATGCAAAAACATGTTTTAATATCTGGATTTATTATACAGATAATTATAATTCCTACATTGTTTTTTCTTTTCTTTTCATGATGTAAATATGCTTATTTGTTTTGAGAAGGGCATACATTTCATTATTTCTGAATTTGACCCACTTGAATGCCAATAAACACATTCAAATTTTATAGGGTCAAAAATATTTCTCTGTAATTGCAATAATTATTATGCAGACAAAATTTATTTTTTTACATCAATTATCATTAATATCATTATATAGCAATGTTATAATTATTTTTTATTTTTTTTGTCTGTTGTCAATGGTGATATAAAACATTTTTGTCATTAATATTTTTATTATTCTAATAATTATTGATGTTTGTCTCTCTGCTGTTTGCAACTGAATAATTTGAGTTGGCAATTGGTAGTAAGGTGCCATTGATGAGTAGAAATATTGGAATTCATTTTCTTATCCCTCCACAAAACAAGGAAAAATGTATAAACATAATCAATGCCAAGCTAACTATCTTCATTTACCAAGAACCAGTTTTTTGACTTCTGTCTTTAATTGAATTTCTCTTCAAAAGAAGAAAAATTTAATGTTTGCTTTTGCACACTTAAGAAAACTAACATTACTTTTGTTTGTTAAATTAAAAAAAAAAGTTTTTATAATTAATTAGATGTTTTTTCTTGTATAGTTCATATTTGTGTGTGTGTGTGTGTGTATATATATATATATATATATATATAATGTCCTGGAAAGGGATATATTTGTTTGAAGTAGCAAAGTAGTTCTTGACTTCTGTAACCAGGTAGGACAATCTAGCAGATAAGTGTAATGACTGGTCCTTGTCATAGTGGTAGGCAATAGGCGGAGGCCAATAGGTGAAGACTATAGGCGTAGTCAATAGATGTCGTTCATCTACCTCCACATCAATCTGTATTTATGGCTGACACCAGCCAATCATATTACTGTGCGGGTGAACGCAGGTGTATGCATATTCATTACATCATATATATATATATTAATAAGATAAACAGTAAGATTTATAATCCAATGTTCTTAGCGGTTATTTTTATTTTTAAAAAACAGTGCTCTATGCAAACAGTAGATCAAAATATTATAATTATTTTCCTTTTAAAAATATAATTCCATTACAACACAGAAAATTTCCATGTTTCAAAACTGAAACTAAATTTATAAATTTAATTATAAAAATTACACTTAAAATCCATAGTCTCATTCCATTGTCAAGCGATGTTAGGAATAAACTTTCAAAGGAATTTACTAAATTTATAAGCCCAAGCAATATTGATATGAGTTGTTAAGGTTAAGTAAACTCTATTTTAATTTAAGGGCGGTTGGGTTTTAATTTCCCTAGACAGCTTATGTATCCAATATATGTTACTTACAAAGTTGGGTTAAGTTTAGGTGGTGTGGGGGTGGCTGCTACCAAATGTATACTTCTGTTATTCAATGAGTCATCTGGGTTTTCAGTGATAAAAAAAAAAAAATTTGGCATTTTTATTCATCTGCTAAATTCATATTTTTATATGGAATTTTTCTGTGTTGCAATGAAATCATATTTTTAGAAAAATAATTTATATATATATATATATATATATATATATATATATATTTTGTTAATTTGATCAGTGTAAATTTGGTTATTTGATGACATTTTGAAAAAGAATTTTTGCTTTTGCTAACAAAACATTTTTCTTGTTATTATCTTGAGCTTATAATATAGTATAGAATGTCTTTTGCAAACAAAATTTACTACTGAGTAATAAATGTTGAAGTTACCAATTATGAGAAGAGCTTTTCTTCTATTTTTGAAAAACAATTCTTTTATTTTTATGAATTTTATAAAAATTATTTAAAAAAAATGGCCAATGTAGTATTTCTATTATATTATATATGACTTACTAGAGAAAAAAAGTCAGTGTTCAAACATGTTTAGTGTGTTGGCTAATTTTATAATTAGTGTATCTACGAGAATATTTTAAATAAAATAATGGTGGTGAAAAGGTACATGCACAAAATAACAAAGACCGATTGATTTGCAATACAAAATAACATTTATTTAACAAAAATAATGAAAAGACAGCTTAAGAGTTTTTTTCCTAGAAATAAATTGAATACACAACGAAAAGTGTTAATGAATGTATTTGAGTGTGATTTGCCTGTTTAGGTGTGTTTTAGTGTGAAGCATCTAAAGCCCTTTTTGCTTCATTGTGACAAGGTGATGGTACATACTTCGAAAGGAGGGAAATCAAGAAGAGAGAGTTACTTAAGGGTTCACCTGTTTTTATACCCTCAGGGCTGCTGCTGATATATTTATTAAGGCACTTTCTGTAAAAATTTGAAAAAAATACTTTGGTAAAATCCCAGGTTTTGAAATCCTGTTGAAAAGTAATATCGAGCACTTATCTCATTCAAAATCACATTCTATAACAAGTTTTGTTTTTGTCTGTTGTATCATAATGAAACATAATTGCCACTATCTGTTTTATTAAAAGCCCTGGTTTCACAGAAGTCACAGAAATGTTTTTTATTTTACTTGATCAATACATGTTCACTTACTGAGAAACTGAACAGTAATATAGATACAATTATCAAAGATCATTCAATAAGTTCATGAGTGAGTAACTGAAATATTTTCATCTCTAAATATAGGAGCACAATGACTTTCATTTCATAAAAAAGCAAGTGTTTTTTTTTTCTGAACAGAAATAGATAAATGCATAATCCAATTGTAATAACATGTTTGAAAATAGGATGTGTCATAACTTTTAATCATATGGTAATGGTAATTCAAGGAAATAGAATTGGTACTGTCATACTAGCAGATGAAAATTCAAAATGCCTCTTTCAATATATGCTGAAATAAGTAATTTTCTTCAGAGTCTAAGAATGTTGTTCTCTATTGTATCAAGATTTGGTACAATTTACATGTTCTCAAAATTTTAATTGAAGGCTTACAAATATATTATAACAACAAACATTCTGAATTGGCAACTGAGTGGCTGGATTATTTGGTTTCTTATTTGCTTTCTCCTAATACTCATTTAAATTATAATGATTAACTCAAATACAGAACATATTTAAATGCTGAGGGATTATCCAATAACTTGGGCCAGTGGTTTCTTTTTTTACTCATTTTTAATGAAGTATTCTTTTGATAAACCAAATTTGTTTCCACTGTCTCTCTTTCTCTATACTCCTTTTGATTTCTCTCTCACTTGTATCTATTTCCTTTTTTGTTCTACTCTTTCTTGTTCACCCCTCCCTATTTGTCATTTTGCTTCTTTATTTCTCCTCTCTTTTCACCTGCATTTTTCTCTCTCCCTCTTTAGTTTCCTTCACAATTTTTTCATCTCTGTTCCATCTTTCTTTTTTTTGTACAGTGTGCAAATAAGATTGCAAAACATAACAAGCCATTTTCTGATACATAATTTGTGAAAGAATATATGATTGACGCAATTGATAGTGTGTGTCCAGAAGTAAAATGAAAAGTAGAAGCAATTTCATTGTCACAGAGAACTATTTGTTCATTTTCATTTGTGATATTGATGAAAATTTCAACATCATAGAAGAGCTGTTGCCAGTGGAGAGTCTCAAAGACACTACTACCGGGAATAATTTGTATGAAAGTCTTATGTATTGGTTAGAAAATTCGCAGTTATACCTTGATAAATTTGTGAGCATAACAACTGATGGGACACCTGCACTAATTGGGACACATTGTGGACTTATCAAATGGCTAAATGACAAGATTCAATCAAACTTCCCACTTGCTTTCATTTCAATGCATAATTCACCAAGAAAGTCTTTGCAAAGCAAAATTGGATTTTAAACATGTGATTGATCCAGTGGTACATGCAGTAAATGTGATAATATCAAAGAACTAAATCATAGTTTCAAAATTTGTTGTAAGAAATGGAGTCTGATGTTTCTGATGTGTTGTACCACACCAATGTAAGGTGGCTAAGTCTTGGAAAAGTTTTGAGAAGAGTATGGCACCTCAAAGAAGAGATTTTCATGTTTTTTTGAAATAAAGGATGTGGCTTGTGATTTTTCCACTAAAATAAAGGATGCAGAATAGGTGTGTGATTTATTTTGCATTTGCTACAGATACCATGCAAAAAATGAATGAGTTCAGCACAAAACTTCAAGGTAAAGGTGTCTTTGCTCATGATTTATTTGTGGAGGTAAAATCCTTTCAGACAAAGCTTATACTTTTTGTTAAACAACAGTCTGATCAAAACTTTGCTCTCTTCCTCCTTCTGAAAGATCAGCCTGTTGAATATACATCTGCACAAAAATACAGTGGACAGATCACAGCCTTGAGGAAAGAATTTGCTGAGAGATTTGCTGATTTCAAAGCAATGGAGCCACAGTTCAACATGCTGAGGTCTCCATTCACCACTGCCATTGAAACTGCAACTAATGAGCTACAAATGGAACACATAGACCTCCAAACTGACAATTTTTTTGAAGTATAGCTTTGAAAACAAATTTTATGCGTCTCTTCACCCAGAGCATTTAAAAAATTTGAAAGACTTTTCAAGAAGATTGTTTGTTCTGTTTGCATCCACTTACATATGTGAGCAAACTTTTTCAAGCATGAAAATTATCAAAAGCAAAAATATATCTCTTTTGACAAATTCAAATCTTCAAACAGTATTAAGAATTAGCACAAGCAGCTTGGAGCCAGATATAAGCAAACTAGTCAACGACTGCAGTAGACTACATCAATCTCATTAATTATACACCTACTGTTGTTCTTAAAATACATTTTTCTTGCATTTTGTCAATTATTTATGCTATAATATAATTTTTACATTATAGTGAATTGTAATTAAACTTTACAACTAGCAAGATATTTTTAATAATTAACTGATCATGAAAATTTTTCACTGTTTCATCTTTCAGTATACAGTTCTCAAAAGCATCTAGCCCAGTAGCCATCTCCATAGTAACAATGCGGCCCACTAAGAAAAAAAATTGCCCATCCTTGCTTTAGGGTAAAGCATTTAACAACCAGTATTTAGCTATGCACAAATTTTGATACATTTGAGAAAAGTTTATCACTCAAATTTAAATGCCAAATGTAATAGAGCAGAAGAGAAAATGGTAAAGTGGAAGGAGAACCACATTATATAACTTTCCTTTTATCTTTTCTTTCTTCTTCTCACTCTAATCTCTCTCTCTCTCTTTACATTTTTATTTTCTCATTTTTCCCATTCCTCTATTTCACTTTCACATGATCTTCTCTCTGTTATTCTTTAGTAATTTTCTCTCAGAAAAATTTTTAAACTAATCATTTTAGTTTTCTTTATTATTCTTCTTCACCTGGAACCATTTACAGAAGAACCATTGTGGATAAACCAAACTGGTTTGTTGATTATGTTGTACAGAAAAATTATTGTGAGAATCATGTGTTGCTTATTAATGTCTGGAATTTGCTTCCTTCTCATTCTGGTTTCCTTTTTGCTTTGGTCCAGCAAATGATAACTGATTGTCAAACAATATTCAAAGACATTGAGAAAAGCTATTGACCCTTCCTACTCTTCTTCAAGAAGTTTTTTCTTTTCTTATCCAAAAAAAATATCCTTATTTTTGTTCTGTTATGATCCAGACTGATGATGATATTTCATCATTCTAAAAATAACCTTGCTATCAGTGATGATAGAAAAGAAAGATATCATCATCATCCTACCCTCATCATTATAAAAATGACCCTTCCACTATAAGAGAATCAGTAGAGTAGACTAGGGTACCCATAGCAGTAGTCAGTAGTAGAGTAGACAAGTAGCAGTACAGAAATATACGTCTAGCCAATGCGCCGTGAAGATCGAAAACAGATGATGTCAAATACCATCCTCACAAATGAAATTCTCAGAACCAAACCAAGTAAACAGTGACTTTTCAACAAAAGAAACACTGAGAACATTTTTACTCACACCATATCCATATTCTATAATTCACATCACAAAAAAAAATACAAATTCTTGTTATTTATGTCAACACGTGTCTCAACTTTTTATTGTTGTTATTGTTGCACGTTTATGCATTTTAATTTCTGTCATTAATATCAACCCCATTTCAGTCAATAAACAATAACATCAACACCCAACATTACCTACTTCATTTCACTTCTTTTCTTTACATTTTAAATTTCATATTGGATTGTCTCAAAATTAGTTCTTTCTCTTGATAAATCTACTCTCACTCTTTTTCCACATCTCTGTCTCAAAACAATCCTCTTTCTCTCAATCCTCTCTCATTTTTATTTCTTATTTCTTCCAACCTTTTCTTTTTTCTGCTTTCACTTTCTTTTCTTGTTTTTTTTTATTCCTTAGTTTGAATCTTTTGATTCTGCTTCATCTATCTGTCTTTCTCATCCCTTCCTCTCTCTCTCTCTTTTATTCCCTACTAGTCATCACTTTCATGTTTTATTAGCTGTCTATTTCTTACTTATCCTCTCATCCACTTTCTGTCTACACACCGTTTGAATCATTCTTCCCTGTCTCTCTGTCCATTTCTCTCTCTCTCTCTCTCTTAACACCGTTTTTCTCTATCTTTATTTCACTGTTTCTCTCTTCTCCTTATTACACTCCCTCCTTCTCCTGTACCATCAACACTGCCTTTCTTTCTCTTTTGATAAAGACACAGACTGGATTTCTCTTGAAACATTCACAACTTGTTTCCCCTCGATGTGACAGCTGCCTTAAGCAATGAGACACAAGATTGGTGGGATTTTTATGGAATTGTTAAGAGAAGTTTTTTTCTGGAAATGTTAAGAAGGTTTGTTTTGCTTTGATGTGTACCTCAAACTGGAATATTTTTGGTTTCTACATTATCTTTATAGTAATATGAAGTAGAACATTTGTTTTAAGGACAGTTTGCCATAACAAGGAATAAATATTAAGTTAAGGATATTTAAATATTGTGCTTTAACAAAATCAATAGTTACATATCAATAACATTAAAGTATTTTAGGTTTTGAGAGGAATTTAAATTCTGAATAGTATTTTATCTACTCTTAGATATTATGTAGTTCTAAATAGGATTTTATGACCTCTCCTAACTACACATACACACTACACTAGCAACTATTACCTATATTGATAGATGGAACCATCATAGACTTTTCTTTCATTCACTATAATGATTAATCCAATAATTCAAGATAGCACACCAGCAAATAAAGAACTTGAAGCCTAAAATACAAAAAAACATTACTGTCAAAATCTCAGAAAATGATTCCAGTTTTATTTTGGAGATGAGAAAAAACAGAGTATTTATTAAAATTTGATTAAATTTGATTTCTAGAAATTCAATGGCTGAAAGAATTTTTATAATTTTTAAGCCAATTTGTAAATTTAGACATTTTCTCACTTTCTTCTGCTTACTCTTTTCCCTTTCTCTTTATTCTTCTCTTTATTTTTATTTTTCTCTCTTTTCTTCTATTCTCTTTCTCTTTTCTTCCATTCTCTCTTTTCTTTCATTCTCTCTCTTTTCTTCTCTTTTCCTTCTGTCGTTTTGTCCAGCCCCCATCTCTTTTTCTCTTCCTGCTGTCTCTTTTTTCTTCTCTCTCTTTCCCCCCTCATTCCATTTGTCAATTTCACCTCTTTGTTCTTTCTTTCATGCTATCCTTTTATCACTTTTTGCTTTTTTTTTATTTTTTCTTCTCTCTCTCTCTCTTTCCATTTTCTTTCCTTCTCTTGCTTTCAATTTATGCCTGTTTCTCTTTTCCTCTCTTGGTCAATCTATCTTTCTCTCTTGGCTTTTTCTTTTCTTTTCTCTCTCCTTTTCTCTATTCCTCTCATTCTTTTGTATAATTTTAATAACAACAGCCCAGTTAACCACCTGTCACCTTTTCATCTCAGTTGTCATTTATTTACTTAAAATATACATTTCAAATATGGTCAAATTTCACTTGAAAACCATCTATGGAAAACCAAGTAAAATATGGAAAATCTTCAAAAATGTCATCATGCAATCAATGAAATTCATCATCAGACCATTGATGAGATATCCAAGGTATTTGGTTTGTCTTGGAGTTCATGCCAACAATGTTAAGAAAAGATTAGAAAATGAAATGAATTTATGAAAATTACAAGCTTTGCTTACCCACAAAGAATAAAAATAAAATCTCATTTGAATGTGTGCCACAATTTGATGAAACAAGTTTGAAATAGACCACAGTTTCTTTCCAAAATTCTGATTGGAGAGGAGTCTCATAATTCTAGTTATTTTTTATATTTCTTTAAATTATGTCTATATATGAATGTGACTGAGTCTTGTCAAGGTAGATTTGTAGTTGTAGGTTTTTTGGAAGAGTGGTTTACTCAATTGCTTCCTCAATGTTATGGCATTAATGAAACATTTTGTCAAAATATTTGATGATTAGACAGTGTAGGAAGGAGAGGATTCATACAATTGTCCAAAGAAAAATAAACAGCAGCAGCTTGGAATTCAAATCCATTAGGCTGATTCTGTTTTCTTTAAAGATAACCAGTCTAGTACCACACATGTCCAAATGAATCACACACACACACACCCTGTCTACAAAAGTGTTTGTCCACTGGATTATTTTCCTTAGTTTTTTCCAATTTAATGATCAAATAAATTAGCGCTACTAAAACAGTTTAATGCATGAACCAATAATAATGAGAGAATTAAGAAAAAGAAAATGGAAGCAAGAAAGAATAAAGTTAAGCATGGCGGAAGTAGCAACAAGTGTCAGCAGCAGACAAGCAAGGAGAATATTAAGTTTAAGGCTAGGTTTAGTTCTAAGTTCAGGATTGTCTCACAAGAATAGCCTAGTGGATTAAAACATTGATTTGTGAATTTGGTGATAAAGTAATTGTGAGTTCAATCCCTAGGCCAGATTGTAAAGATTTTGACCCAATAGAAGTAGGGCAAGCAATAATTTAACAGTACTAAATAAGAACAAAAGATACCCTTAGACATGGCCAGTGGAATGAGAAAAATATACCCTCATAGATTAAATAAAGGGTTTAGTTTGAAATTTCCTGAAGGTTACCCAGATTGAGAAAAACCTAAAGAAGGCCAAAGGGTTTTTTTTATGTCCCATGTCTCTTCAGGATGTAGGCGATCATGGCCCTCCACCTCTTGTCCCTTGTAGCTCTATAGTATGTTTCCTCTTTGTTTCCATTCCTTTTGTTGTTGCTTACATTTTTGGCACATGGTATTCTTCTGTAGAACCACATTTCTGTTGCTTTGAGTCTCTTCTTCATCACTGAGGAGATTGTCCAACATGTGCTGCCACACAAGAGGACATATCATGTAACAGTTCAATACTGTTTTCTTTGTTTTCAACAAAATTTTCCTGTCTGTTAATACTCTGCTTAGTTTTTGGAATGTGTCTTTGGTCATCCCAATATGTCTTCGGATCTCAGTGTCAGGACACTTCCCAGATATTTAGATTTCTGTACCTGCTTGATTCTAGTATCCCTGACCTGTAATGTGCCTTTTGGGCTCATCTTATTGCTGATGACCATGCATTTTGTCTTGTAGTTTATATTTAGTCCCTTCTTCTCGCTCTCCTTCACTATCTTCTGTAGAAGATTTTGTAGTTTCCTTTCCATGTCTGCTATCAGCACTCTGTCATCTGCATCTCTTACACTGTTAAGATAGTAACTGCCAATGATGAACCCTGCTAGGATTTCTAGTTCACTCAGCATCACCTCGCTGTATAGGTTGAATGTCTAGTAAGAAGACACATCCTTGTCTTATACTCCTTTCTATTTTTGTATATCTGCTGAACTCATTTTTTATCCATTTGCAGGCGGTTTGCTGCCAGTAGAGATTTTTGATTATTCTAATGTCTTTCTCAAATATGTCAAAGTTTCTGAGCTGCTCTAACAGATCTTTGTGGTATACTTTGTCAAATGTCTTTGCATAGTTTATAAAACACAGGTACATGCTCTTCTGCATTTGTATTTCTCTTTCTGATAAAATTCTTAGCATAAATATTGCATTCCTTGTTCTGGTGTCTTTGACGAACCTACTCTGTTCTTATCCTATCTCTGGCAAGATTCTGCTGCGCACTCTATTCATCAGAATTTGGATGATGAGTTTTATTACATGGTTCATTAGGCTCATTGTTTGGTGGAATTCATATTCGTTTGTACCTGGTTTCTTAGGCAGTGCTATGAAAATAGGTCTTTCAGTATATTTGTTAGATTTCATTTGTTATTTCTGTAATCTCACCTATGCTGAAATAATCTAAGGCTGCCAACATGTCAATTGCAATTTTGTCTGGCCATGCCAATTTGTTTCTATTCAATTGGACCAGTGCTACTTCCACTTTAGTTTTTAATATTTATGACCAGTCGGTATTTCTGTGTATTGTCAATTGTTCTCTTTCATCATGGAAGATATCTCCAAACAGCTGAAATGTAATAACAACAACAATGATGACGACATCAATTTGAATGCAACTTGTCATAACCATTTGACTTTTCTTCTATGCAGAATCTATTCCAAATCATTCAGATTTGGTAGCTTCTAATTATGAAAAGTAATTTTCAATTCCTGCTACAAATGTGCAATTGGGTTTAAATAAGAAATGCTATTCAGTTATCCTAGCCTTATTCTTTGGAAAACATTTTGAAGTAGTTTTTAAAGTATCTTTCAGATGGTTGTTTTGCTGGAAGAAGAATCATTTATCAAGTATGAACTGAATAACAGAAAGTAAAAGATTATTTGAAAGAATGGACTGATACTTTAGCAAATCCATTTTCCCTAAATCTTGGCAAGTTTCCTGATATCTCCAGTGCAAAAGTAAGCCAATAAAATGTTATGTCCATTACCATGTTGAAATATCATTTTCTATTTATATTGGATGCTGTGTTCTTTACTCTCTAAACAAAATGTTGCTGGTTCTGTTGTAAAAATTCTATTTTTGTTTTTTAGTGAATGTTAAACAAGCTTTTTTTGGTGTGAGCTTGTGTTTTCTTCAGTACTGTCATTTTTGAGCAACTAAACTGAAATATTTATCAACTCAATGTTCAACAAATTGGTGAGAAATGTATATTTGTTTTAACGGATATCTTTTTACACTAGATTGACTTAAAATCAACTTTAGGTTGACTTAAAATCTTTCTGTAAATCTTCCTTGGATAACCTGATCTTCAAACATTGATAGAGTACAAATTTATTTCTATTTATGATTGATGGAAAAGAAAATGGAATAAGGTGTATCCAAGCATCTGACATTTTTTTGCAGGTTTTCTTTGATTGCTAAGTCTCAATTGATTTCTTTTACAGATCCTTGGAATGCTCTTTGACTTTTGACATGAGTTCAAAACTGAATCTTTAACTTGCTAATATAAATTTATATAGGCCTTCTAAAGTGATGTTGAGCAATTGTAATATCCATGGGTGTAAGAATGGTTCAACTTTAGCTATTGTTTTGATCTAATTTGCTGCCAAATTTTTTTTTTCACTTGGCAGTGGGGGTGGGGATCAAATACAAAGGTAGACCAAGAAATTCATAGCCTGGAATTGTTATTTGATAGTTGTTAGCTGAACTTTGATCTGACATTTTCATTGTATAATGTTTGAATGATGTGATCAATATTCATGACTAGATTATATTGAAGAGGAAATATTTGTTTCATCATTTAGCTACAGACTTATTAATGTATCAATCAATATACATTTGTTATAAAATACATGTAAGTAATTATATAATTCTTTCTTTCATTTTACATAAGAAAATTGTTGTATGTTTAAGACTTTTTATGGATTCTTTTTATTTGGCTTGTTATCCTTATAATAAATTCAAATAATTGTTTATAAAATCATTGAAATTCACTATTTAAGGTTTTTGAATTAATATTTAACTGTACTGACTTATGTAAATAAAATATGTGCATACATTTATTTTTATATATGTGTGTGTGTGTGTATATATATATATATATATGTCTCATTGTTTCTCACCTGCAACTTTGTCGCTTATCAATTAATAAAATGATTTTTAATTTGTGAATCATTTAAAGGCTTGCTCTTTTAAAATAATTCAGTTTATAACAATGGTTGATAATTTTTCTGCTAGTATTTTAAAGAAAAATAGTTCAATGACTGCTTGCATGTCCCATGTGGGTAGAGGATGGGGTTCTTTGAAGTAGGAGTGAACATAATGGTGAATAAGTTTTCAAAAAGGCTTTTCTCAAGAGTCTTGCCACTTGGAAATTGCACATGACGTAATTGCAAATCTTAGAACTTGGAATGACAAATGAGAAAGAAAAATTGGCGAAAATTGATTCTGTTGATTATCTTTTAAGAAACATTTTAAGTAGGATGAACAGGAAAATTGTGTTTAAAGTTTGATGTTAATTTTTTAACTGAGTGATGCAAACACTTTCCTTTTTATTCTTTTTTATTTTTTCTCCTTTTGCCTTTCATTTTTTTTTTGTTCATTGTTTTGTTTTCCCATTTTCTCTCTCTTTGTCTTGTTTTTTTTTTTTAATCTCTGTCTTGTTTTCTTGTTTTTTGCTTTTTCTCTTTTTGTCTTGTTTTTTTCTTCCTTTTTCTCTCTTTGTCTTGATTTTTTTTGCTTTTTCTCTCTTTGTTTTTTCCTTTTTTCTCTCTTTGTTTTTTTTTCCTTTTTTCTCTCTTTTTTTTTTTCCTTATTCTCTCTTTGTTTTTTTCCTTTTTCTCTCTTTTTTTTTTTTTTTTCTCTCTTTGTTTTTTTTCCTTTTTCTCTTTTGTTTTTTTCCTTTTCTCTCTTTTTTTTTTTTTTTTTTCTCTTTTTTTTTTTTTCCTTTTTCTCTCTTTGGCTTTTATTTTTGCTTTTTCTCTCTTT